TTAGACCCTGCTGCCTCATTGGGCAGGATCCAGTGTTGTGCACCCTCCCCCATCTCCAGGTCTCAATCGGGCTGGAGACAAGGGAGCAGTAGGGCAGCCACAGGCCAGATCAACCGGCTTGGAGGGCCAGAGTTGGCCCGCAGAGGCTGTCTTGCTCACCCCTGGGGCAAGAGATTTGGATGCAGGGGGGCCTGTGAGATCTGGGAGAGAGTTTGGATGAAGGAGGCAGTTGTGACCTGGGGCAGGGGATTAGTTCAGGGGGTTGGGTTGTGCCCTAACGCAGGAGACTTGGGTGCAAGGGTTTGGGTTGTGACCTAGGGCAGGAGGAAATTGTGATCTGGGGCAGAGGATTGGGGTGCAGGGCCTGGGAGAGGGTATGTGCTCAGGAGGGTGTCAAAGGATTTGGGTTGTGTGTGGTAGAACTGGGAGGGGCAGAAGGCAAGGGTGCTAGAGGCAGGCTCCAGCTGGGGGACTTACCAGTAAGACTCCCAGTCAGCACTCCTGGGGGAGTGGTGTTTTCTGTGCTACCTGTTTTTCAAACAGGCCACTCCCATTGGCCAATGGGATTGTGCTGGGTGTGGGAGCAATCATGAAGCATTGCTCCCCTCTCCCTTCCAGGATCATGGTTTGTAAAACACAAATGGCCCAGCAGACGCTTTTCTGAGCAGCGTGGGGGGGCAAGGCAAGCAGGGGAGCCTGCCTGAGGCTCCCTGCTGCCTCTGCAGACTAGATCCAGTGGCTTAGTGGACCAGATCCGGCCTGCAGAGGATGTTTTGCCCAGGCCTGGTCTAGATGCCTCTGATATTAAGATCACCAGGGCTCACCGAACTGCAGCGAGCCCTGCTCGCCAGCCGCGCTGTCTGGTGATCTGCACATGCACAGATTACAACCTGGAAGAGCCGGGTTCAGGCAATCTACTCACCACGGGCGAATAGACTGTATGATTTATCGAGCCCTGAAGATCACTGAAAGCTAGAAAACTGATGATATAATAGGGGTCATTAGGACTTATGTATTTTGTAAGAGTTAGTTCTAAGAGGTTAACTAATAGAACAGGAGTGGGCAAAATACAACCAGGCGCCCTGCCCGCCCCGCACCCTGCTCAGAAAAGCAGGCTGAAGGACCACACGTATCTGAACGCTGTGAGCCGAGGGGAAAAGGCTTCACATGCTGCCCCCATACCCAGCACAATCTCGCAGCTCCCATTAGCCAATTTCCAGCTAATAGTAGCTACCGGTCTGAAGAACAGGCAGCGTGCAAAGTACCCCTGTCCCCCTCCCCTCAGGCTTGCAACGTTCAGAGCAGCACACAGGCACCTTCAGCCGGCTGCCCTGAACAGCCTGTGGGGGCATGGAAGGCAGTGACCCTGGCTGAGGAACCTGCTGGGCTGCTGGCCAGGGAGTCACCCAGGTAGGCATCTTCTCAGTCACAGCCTGCCTCTGGCATCCTAGCTCCTCCCTCCCTCCCTCCAAGCCTCTGCCCCCCACTTCTGCCCTCTACCCCATGTAACCCAAATCCCTGCCCCCCTCCTGCATCCATACCTCCCTGCTAGACCCCACACCCTAGTCCCAGATCCCACACTCCCTCCTGTACTCTAAGCTCCATCCCAGACCTTGCACCTCCTCCATTAATATCATTGAAGAGTACAGCCCTTAACCACTTACCAAATTCTTGGCATGCCCCCCTCCTCCCAATCAAAAATTTTGGAACAATTTTGAGAGAGGCTTTTCCTTACCCCAACCCCCCCCCCCCCCCCCCGCCGCAGATGAGCAACTGGCCACTGCAAGTCTGCTGTTAATTACTCAGTATCATCTCAGAATATAGGTAAATATCTTGATGTCCTAAGCTTACTGCTTCAGTTTGTGAGAGCTTAAATCTAATAAACGGCAATGTTAGACAACAGCATGCTTACTTGCATTACTCCAT